CTCTGCCTCCACTAGGTTAACTAACATTGTCAGAATAATAAAGTTTACCAGAAGTTTCAGCTATGGATAATTTGGAAATCAAACTACATTTGGTAGCTGCCTTTAAGGTTTTGTGTTTTTTTACTTAAGTTTTTCTGCTTTTCAAATCCCTCCAATCAATGTAAATTTAGTATCAGGATATCTGCAAGTATCTTCCTTCTCCTCCTCATCTCTACCCTACTCCATCAAATTACTGCCAGTTCTCAGAATCTCTAGTTTCCTTCCACATTTAGTTCATATGTTTTTGAAAATGTCCCTCTGATTATGGAAATATTCATGCTTATTGATCTTTGTCAAGTTCGTAACAATAAAAATGAAAACAAAGGAACAAAACAAATTTCAGTTCAAATATTATCTTCCACATAAGGCTTTTTTCCCTAAAACTCCTTCCCTTCAATTCCCAGTTGCTAGTATTCTTTCTCTCCAAATTGCCTTGTATTTGTTTTATAAATATTTTATGTAACATGTACATGCCTATTTTCTAGTGTGACAGAATAATGTAAACTCCTTGAGGGCAGGGAATGGTTTATGTTTGTCTTTGTATTCCCAGGACCTAGCACATTGTCTGGCACATAGCATAGGCACTTAATAAATGCTTGCTGACTGATGAAGTCCATGTTGCAGCATGCCCAGCAACATATTCGCTACATACCCCTTTCCTCAATTGCTGATCCTTATACTGTCATGGCTCTTAGGCTTTACTGAAGCAGGGGGTGAAGTAGATAGAGCAATGGATCTGGTGTCAGGAAGATCTGAGTATAGATCTAACCTTAGACACTTACTAATTAGGTGACCATGGGCAAGTCACTTAAGCTATGTCTGCCTCAGTTTCCTCATCTGTAAAAATGGGATATTAATAACACCTACCTCCCAGAGTTGTTGTGAAGATTAAATGAGATAATATTTATAAAGTGCTTCATAAACCTGAAAGTACTTTATAAATGCATTACTGAAACTGTTCTCTATGCCCGGAAAGGTCTCCTTCCTCCACTTTGCCTGTTGAATTCTTACCTGTTCTTTACAGCTCAACTCAAATGCTCTTTCCTTTATGAAGCCTCCCTGCTGATAAGGGGCTTTGCTCTCTGACTTTACCTAGTACTTTGTATACAACCCCTCCAGTCCAAATCACAGCTCAGCTGAAACACCCGGTCTTAGAAAGTTGCCTGAGTGGAAGAGATTAAATGACATGCTCATGGTCACATCACTACTAAGTGTCAAGAAAAGTTTTAAATTCAGATCTTTTTGACTTCAATTGAAACATTCTATACATTATGCTCTGTGATCTTTCTCCACTTACCATGTACTATCTCGTATTATAGCCAAGCTTAGTTTTTGTTCCTTATTTGTTGTTTTGTTGTTGTTCAGCCATTTCAATCATGTGCAACTCTTCTTGATCCCATTTGGAGTTTTCTTGGCAAAGAGGAGGAAACTGAGGCAAGCAGGGTTAAACAGCTAGTAAGTGTTTGAGGTTGGATTTTAACTCAGGTCCTCCTACTCAAGGCCTTGCTTTCCATACACCAAACCACTTAGCAATCCTTAAACTAAAATATTAACTCTTCTAGGCCAGGGACCATCTCTTATCTATACTTGCTATTTCTTCCAATGCCTAGCACACTCTTCTGTATATAGCAGAAACTCAATAATGTTTGTTGCTGCACTATTTTTCACCCAGAAGTAGCATCTTTTAGTCCTATGGAACCATAATAGAATGGCCTTGCTATTACTGAAAATATTATTTTGAATATTTGAATATTTGAACATTTGAATAATATATTTGAAGGAGAAAAGTGAAAGACTATAAAGTTAAAATCCTTTCTGAAGAAATTGAAAACACAAGAATATTTTGCTCTATGTTATCTTGAGAAAGATGTCCAAGATAGGCTTCGGAAGACTGCAAAATAAAGTGACTGGAAGTAATGTCCCATTTACAAGGCCAATTTATAATACTTTATTATTGCTAAAATTCATTTCCATCTATTACAGTATTATAGCATTATAGATCTAAAGCTTAGAAGGTATATCAGGAGGTATCTGGTCCAACTCCTCATCTTAGAGATGGGAAACTGAGGCCAAGAGAAATGAAGTGACTTGCCCAAGATAATATAGGTAGTTAAGGTATAACTCTGATTGTTACACTCTTTCATAAATATCAACAAATCCCTATTCAGGTGTATATCAGTTAGTCAATAAGTATTTATTGAAAGCTGACTATAGGCTTAGTCATAGCCATTATATTCAGGGTCAGGTGTCAAGAACGTGCCCAGTCAAGACATGACATGTTCCCTCAAACACATCTGGGGAGGTTTTTATATTGGGCGAGATGTTTGCCAGTATACGAAGGGATTCCCCAGAGGTGGGGTCACTGTATCTTGCTATTTAAAACTAATTATTCTTGATAACTTAGTGCTAAGTTCAGTTATTTCTATATTAGTAAAAGACAGAAAGTGCTACCAGACACATCTAATTTTAGCACCCTAGAAAAAGCCCCATCTACCTCACCCTGGCTATAGCTCTCTTTAGAATAAAGTAGGTATGGTGGGGGTATAAGAGTGTGTAAGGCAATGTCCTTGTACAAGAAGCCTTGGCCAGGTGGTGCCTTACTTCTCACTTACTAATTACTTCAGTTCACTCAGCATCTCAGTAATGTGTATAGTGGGCTTTAGAAGTAACTAGGTGGCACAGTGGATATGACACTGAACCTGGAGTCAAGAATACCTATGTCCAAATCCAACCTCGCTAGTCCTGAGATCCTGAGCAAGTCACTTAGCCTTGGTTTCTTCAGGTATAAAATAGAGATAATAATAACACCTACGTCCCACGGTTGTAGTAAAAATCAAATGAGACAATAGCCAAGTGCCTGGCATTTGGTAGGTACTTAATAAATGATTATTTCCTTCTTTCCTTACCAGGGTGTCAGTGGTGGGAGTAAGGGAATAAACATTTACATAACACCTACTATGTGCTTAGGCACTGTGCTAAAGCACTTTAGAGATATGATCTGCACAGATAAACAAAATATTCAGGCTGGGCAATATTGCCTTATCTAAAGAAAGTAGAAATAAGTCTCAGTAAATAGTAAGTATTGGTGGAGTGCAAACTTGACTTGGTAAGGAAGATTTGAGGTTAAAGTAAAAAATAGTTTCAAGGTCTATTTCACATTATAAAGTCTATTTAGGAATGACCTATATATAAACTTTGCAGGCTAGGGGAATTACCTCCCAATATCATCATTTCTTTTGCAAGTCATAATGTTGATCCCAGGGAATTCAGGAATTTAAAAGTCACTGCTGTGCATACACATGTGCATATTCCTTACTCTCCCTTCAGTGACTGGAGACCACACAAGGCCCTTACCTAGATTTAACAGTGATGAATCATTTTTCTTGTTTCACTAAATCTTATGGGGCTCCTCAGCTGACACTGTGGTCAGTCTACATCTTTTTCAACCAGGGCACAACACTTCAAAAAAGCTGGTTAAGGGCCTCTCTAAGGGATTCTAAATGTCAGAATATCATGCCCGGTGTATCCAACTATAATTCAATTCAAAAGAAAGACTTATTTTTTTTTCCTGCTCACTTTCTTACTGCTAACTTTCATAGTGGAGACATCACTATATTAATGCAATAGGTAAACAAATACAATGACCTTTCTGTGTTGGCTCTTTGTTTATCCAGATTGTATGAACTGCCTGTGGTTTCTGAATGAATACCATGTTTTCCCCCTCCCCATTTCTAGCCGGGGATGGTGGGATCATGCAATTATAGGAAGTTAACATGACAATTAGAAAAAAAATAAACTTTTTTTTTCAGGACACTACATTTGCCTCAAGTTACTGTAATAAAGGGCAATTTCAGAAGATTCACTACTTTAAGCCCACAAATGGTGCAATGACTCTTGTGAAGTCACATTTGTCCCTGAAACTTCAGTAACCTGAAGGCTGCATGCTTCATTGCCTGCAGCAGACAAATTCTGACAATCCAGAATGGGCCTGAAAAATCTCACTTAAAGTTATAGAAAGTGGAGAAAGTGGTTCAAAAAACACAACTCATCTTACTGCTCATTTAACTTGAAATGATTCTAACTCTGTTATATTGCCTGAACAAGTTTTTTTTTTTTGGATGCAAAATATTACAGTCCTCTTGTTTTCAGTTTGAGGTTTCGTAGGAGGAAAGAAATATCAGATCTTTGATGCCATACAACCCACCGTAGATCAGTCAGTGGCAGACCATTATTTTTGCTCAGAGAAAATTCCCAACCTTTTTTTTTGTATGCAAATACACACTCCCACAATTCCTGGAATCCCTACTACATTCATAACTCACTATTGACAGACACACGGATACAGATACAAACTCCTCGAGACACATCGGAAGCCAGTCTTCACTGGAGCCATCACATATATAGTTATGTTACCACCTGAACTTCTAATTAGTAATAAAAATATATATCTTACCCTCCCCCTCCAGGCAAGGAAAGAAATTTCCCAAACTATTCAGGATTCCCTCTCCCACTTCCATTCACTGATTTTTTTTTTAACCCTTAACAAAGATATAATTGCAGGGTCTCAGAAGAAGCTTTTTAAAATTTAGTTTTCTTTTCTCATTTAATTACTTAATGTCTAACTGTAAAATTCATTATTTCCTTCATTCAGCACTTCCCATCTTTGACTCCCCCCACCTCCCACAAAATCGCCTTCAGGATGAGACCTCTGCATTTTCTTTGCTTGTTTAGGGCAAGAAATGAAGAGCTTCCTCTTTAATTGGCAGAAGCATGCAGGAGGAGCATACCTTCAATTTAGTGTTGGGATACCTCACTTGCACCCTGGCTGTTGTCTTATTGGAGACGGCAGCCTGCCTGAGATCCTCTAGCACTGAAATTATATCATCCAGCACGCATTTCTTATCCTGATTTCTCAACGCACACAGATGGGAAAAAGTATAATTATAGCCCTTGTGGTTCACCTTCATTTCCAGCACGGCTCGGTGGGTCTGCAGGATCCCCTCAGCCTGGAGCAAAATATTGTGTCCGGGTGGGGAGAGGAGGATTACCCTGCCATACCTCCCAGGGGTGTGCAAGTCCGAATACAGCTGGCTTTTGGACTGGTCCAGGGGGAAGAGGCTCCCCGCCAGGCTCCGCTCGATCTTCGCCAAGCTGTGGCTGGGAGCGACCAACCGCTCCAGGTCGCTCTCGGGCTGGAAGCGGTTGAGCACGCTGAAGCCGAAGATAATGGTCAGGACTGCAGGCACGGTGAGGAAGAAGACGGGGTGCCGGCTCACGCACAAGCCCAGCCTGTGGCAGAACGACTGGAGCCCTCTGCGAATGACCTGCCGCAGCATCCTCCACCCGATCCAGCTCGCAGACGCTCCCGGCCGTCTTAAAAAGCACATGTGACATGTGTAAGCGCCGGGCTGTCCCCCCCTCCTTCACCCCGGATTCCCCCACCCCCCAGCTGACACCCCCTCCCCTCCGGTCACCACCACCGACGTGACTGACAAACCCCCTCCCCCCTCCCTTTTCACCTCCCTAACCATGCCACTTGTCTTTCCCCATCCCCACCTCCATGCACTCCTACTACTCTTTCAAACACTGCAGCAAGTTGCAGCAAGGCGGGCACAAATGGATAACGGGCTTGGGGGCGGGGGGTGGGGAAGCAGGCAGAGACGGGTCAGGCGACGGAGAGTGGGGGGGACTCAAGCTGGACGCCTAGGCGCCAGGGACCCCACCTCCGCCCCTCCCTGGCGCCCCTCTCCGCTTCTCCCTGGGCCCCCAGCTCACCGCATGGGCAGCTTTCTCTTTCTCTCTCGCTATCCCTTCATCTCTCTGCTGCAGTCCCCCCCGACCTCCCTTGGAGGAGGTGGTTTGGTGTGGAGCTGTCCCAGGGCTATCCTATCAGTTCGGCTGGATTTATGTACTTAACTAGAACCATGTGCCTCGGTGTTGTAAGAGGCAGACATGTGCCCCAGGATGGGATGGGAGGGGGGAGAAAAGGAGGGGGCGGAGGAAGGAGAGGGAAAAAGGGGGCAGAGAGATACTTTTTTTTTGAAATTTTAAGTGCCGATAGTTATTTTTGGAGTTTTTGCTTTTGTTTTCTTTTTTTCTTTTCTTCTTCTTCTTCTTGTTCTTCTTCTTCTTTTTTTTTAACTTCCAGCCCAGGGTCACCCAAGTGAGTGGAAGAGGAAACAAGCGAAGGTGCGAAGACTCAGTTAGGCTGGGGGTTCTTGGAAAGGTAGAGGTAATTGGAGGCTGGGAAAGCAGGTTAACCCATCGCTGCTACCAAAAGCCTGCTTTCCTCTCCGGTTTCCCATGGCCCGCGAATTTCGCTTTTCAGCTCCAGGGAAAAGAGCGGGGAGGATGATGCTGCATTTTTAACATATCACAAAGCGTGCGAAGGATTTCCGCTCAACACCTCCTGGAGCTGCCCTTCTCAAGGCGGTGCCTGCCGCAGCTATTGGGGCTGCCTGAAGACCCCGGTCTCTCCTGGGTACTCCTGGGTGCCCAGGTCCTTTGCACTTTCTTAGGTCCTCAAGTGGATTGAAAAGAGACATTAGGCAGTAGCAGAAGCCTGTAGCATGGATTGAGGGGGCGAGGGGCAGGCGGGTAACAAACCTAAAATGCGTGTGATGTATATGATAATATTGATGTATTATAGAAAAAATAGTCAAGTGTTCTTGCAACGGAGGTTTAAAAATCGGAAGTTTTCAGAGCTCCTCTTAAGGCCACACCCCCCTACAGATTCCTCAGTTCTTCAAGTCCCATCGTCTCCCCCCACCCACCCCTAGGTACTATGTTAAGTCAAGTCATCAGGTTAGCTCTAAGGGCAAGGTCTGGAGAAAAGTGATTTAGAGCTGAGTTCGTTTCCTGAGGGAGTTGAAATCCAGCAGTCAGTAGTTGGGATCCACATTATTTGGTTGTAAGAGACATCAGGGAGGTGGGAAACTGGCTCACAACTGCAGTCTCTTGATGTGGGAAAGGTGGAACCAGGTGACTTCATTAAAGAAAAATACCTGGTCTGTTCCTATCACTGTTGTTTATACCATCCAGCTACTTACCTGACTTCCTCAACTCCAAATAAAAGTGACTGTGAAGTGTTATCCTGTAGAAATCTCAGCATCTGCAGACCCAAGGGTGCTGGTCTAGAAGTCTTGCTGTGTGGAAAAATGCTTATTCCAAAGCAACTGAAATAATTAGCATACATCACCCATGTGATAAGTTTTTATCCCAAGGAAGAGTATGGAGACATCTGGGGGTAAGATCTGAGTGACCTGGAGAGTAACTTAATATGTGAACTCCTTCAAAGGTTTCTTTCTACTGTCTCATCATACTTGTTTCAGTTTAGCAGTTCTTTAAAAATTGTTAATAAACACACAATAATAAGCAATCCAAGAATATACTAACTAGGGTGATGCTCACAAGAGGTTCATTGTGAGATCTTTTAATAATACAACAGGAGACCTATTGCACCACTAATATAAATGTAAACTACTCAAATGACTCAAAGAATGTTCAAAGAATGAAATGACTTGGTTTCTCTTTCCTTCAGTAGAATTTATTCTTCCCTTACTAGACCAATTATACCATGAAGAGTTTGGAACAAGGAGTCAAGGTGGTGTGAGAGTCATGAGAAAAACATGAAATTAGAGTTTTAGAGTTTGAGAAGGGACCATAAATGTCATCCAGTGGTCCTCTCAATGTAGGAAACCTTTCACAGTATCATTCACATGGTCATTCCTCTGTCTGCTTGAACACCACCAGTGACAGGATACTCATTGCTTCAACTCTATTCAACTAAATTAACATTTATTCACATCACCATACCATATAGTGGAGTTACAAAGACAAAAAAAAATAGTCCCAAGATATATATGAAGTTGTGAATGTAAATTTCAAGAGGAAAATAGCACCAGTGGGATCATGAAAGGCTTGATGAAGAAGGTACCACCAACTCTGCTTTGAAAGCAGCTAGGAATTTTAAGTCCCAGGTGAGAATAGAATCACACATGGCAGGAAAATGGGAGAGGGAATCTCCCATGTGGAATAGGATGCATTCTCTCCTCATCTTTCCCTCATAGAATCCCTCTCTTCCTTCAAGACAATGCTCAAACACCACCTTATACCTGAGGCCTTTCCTGGTTCCTAGGCGCCCCCTCAAACTACCTTGCATTTACTTTTATTCATTCTGGATAGATATATAGATAGATCCTTATTGGATCTATCCCTGTTAGAATGTAAGTTCCTTGAGAGCAGAGATTGTTTCACCAGTAGGCTAGTTTGCTTGGAAGAAGGGTCTGTGAAAGGTAGGTGGGGGCTAGAACACTGAGGGCTTTAAATTCCAAGTGGAGGTTTGTATATTATCTTAGATGCAACAGGGAGCCACTGAACATTTTTATGTAGTAGAGAGACAGGTCAGATCTGCATTTTAAGAATATCAGTTTGAGAGAAGTTTGGCAGCTCTAATACTTGAAGAGGCAACTCTAACAGAATTTCTTCCTTATTTTGATCCAAATTGCATCTTTCTAATTTCCATCAACTGATTGACCCTTGTTTCAGAGTAACATAACACAAATCTAATCCCTTTTCCACATGACACTGATATTCATATTTCTCTTGGGAAAATTGTTTGCTAGTCCCAAGAAATGTGTATGTGTTTGAACTTCCAGGAAAAGGGAAATAAACCTACTATTTCATTACCCATTATCATAAAGAGAGTATACTACAATCAGTCAATCACAAATTACTTATTACAGTATATATTATATACCAGGTACCATAGACTCAAATGTAATAAATGAAACAATCTCTCCTCTCAAGGAGTTTACATTCTAATGGGGTATATGATAAGTATCTATTTGTCAGTCTATCTATCTGTCTATCTAGAGTGAATACAAGTAAATACAAGGTGGTTTGAGAGGAAGGACAGCAGGAACCAAGAAAGGCTTCAGGTACCAGGTGGGGTTTGAACTTTATCTTGAAGTAAAAGAGTGATTCTGTGAGTGAAAGGTAAGGAAGGAGTGACCCTATGGGGCAGTCAGTGCGAAAGCATGGAGATGGAGAGTACTTTTTTCCATATCACAGACAACCTACAATAGCCTTCAATATAGAACTCCTTAATCCACTAAAATCCTACTCCAATGCCTTATTTTTTTGTGAGTGTGTGGAGGTGGTTCTAGGGTCTTAACGGCTATTTCAGTGAAGCTTCTTATCATCTTCATAATGACATGATAAAGTAAAGGCATGAATTGACCTCCAAGGGAGAGCTGATGGGAGAATATGGGCTAGGATGAAACAGGATGGTCAGGCATGTGTGAGCTGTCAAGTGCCTCATTGAAGGGAATATCCACATAGATGAGATCACAGATCAATCTGAATGTTGAGCAAACTCTTAATGGTCCAACCAAGCTAGAAAGACTGTGAACATAGGCCCAGCCCAGCTTGACTGCAGGATGTTAAGTTTGTTTGTTTTTTAATTTTTTTTTGACACAGCAAATCCTAAAGACCATCTATGAGTCATTGGCTGGGTTGGGGGTTATGGTGAGGGTGAAGAGGAGGCACAGAAATACATACTGATAAAATTACAAAGCTTTCTAATACCAAAGAATAGAATCCCTTATGGTGATGGACAATACCTCACAGTTCACCTGTAAAGTGCTTGACAAAACACTTTTCCCAAACAACCTGTGAAGTAGATAATGCCAATTTAAGTACCTGAAGTTGTTACACCTTTTACTCAGTAATCTGGTCAGATTTTGAAATACTCTTTTGGCCTTTAGCACATTGGGCCATCAATCTGTTCCCTACACAGATTCTTCTGCCCTGTTCATTATAAACCATGGCTCAACCAGACCAGGGAAAATCATTGTGCACCCTGGCCCCCATCTCAAAGCTCACATACTAGGTTGGGATATTATGAAATATTGATCTTAACTTCTAAGATGGTATGGTACAGAACAAAGAACCCTAGTATTAGAGACAGAACACTTGCATTGATTAGAATCCCAGTTATACTTGCATTGATTAGAATCCCAGTTATGCCACTAGTTAGCACTGTCCTCTTGGAAAATCTATGCAACCTCCTGAAACTCAGTTTCCTCAGATGTAAAATGAACATAATAATAATTTCACTATACATACCCATATGTATAGTGTAATAATTTCCTCTCTCTCTCTCTGTTTTTTTGTTTGTTTGTTTTGCAACTTCATTGGTTCCCATGGGTTCAACTATTATTTCTATACTGATGACTAACCAATCTAAATCTTTCTCCTGAATGTCACTTAGTGACTACTGGATACCTCCATCTAGATGTTCACACACATATATGTATATATGTTGTTGTGAAAAAAGTACTTTGTAACCTAGTTAGCTAGGTGGCTCAGTGGGTAGAGTATGGGGCTGGACTCTGGAAGAAGTGAGCTCAAATGTTGAGCATTTATTAGCTGCATGACTAAAGGTAAGTAACTTATCTCAGCCTCAATTCCAGTATTTGTAAAGTGAGGATAATAATAGCACCTATCCCACAGGATTGTTGTATAAACTGAATGAGATATCACATGTAAAGTACTTTATAATTGCAAGCTGTTAAACTGAATTGATATAGAAAAATGAGCTATACTTAGGATGCTGCAGGGACCCCCCACCCCCAGTAAAGCTGATCAGCTGACATTGAGTCAATCACATTCTCTAACCCAGTCCTTCTCATGAGCCTCCTATGAGATAAGATTGGGAGTACTGCCCCTGGCCATGGAACAACATTTTTTTTCTGAGCAGAGCTGATTGGCCTATATGAAATCAAACCAACCGAGCTAAGCAGTGCAGGCAAATATCTTGTTTTTATGATAGGTTGCAAGCAATTAGAGGCCAAAGACCACATTT